ACACCTTGTTATCTCAGATTCTCCAGCATCTGCAGTTCCTACTATCTCTGAAACAATTTTAACCCCTATTTCAAGGTTTCCTACTTTGAGCCTGCACTCTTAGAAAGGCCCGGTAAATCAAACCAGGAGCCTGCACCCAATACTCTTGACCAAAACTTAATTCTTAACTGAGAATCCTGACATCCAGTGGAGTGTTGAAATGCATGCGCCAATAGATTAAACATCACTCAATTGACACCTTTGGATCTGTGACCTATTTTGTAAATTCTAGAATGTTTACTTATACAAGATAGAGAGGTTTCAAGTGCTTGAAGTTTCTGTTATTGATATTTGAACGTAAGAACATGAGGAAAACTTGAAAAAGTCTAGAATATTCACACTTCTATTTGCCCTTGTTTTTTCACTTTCTTAAATAAAAGCTATCAATGAATGACCATCTTTTTAATAGCTTTTTATACATCCCACTGTCACTGTAAGGAGGTCTTGTGGTGTATGGTAGTATCCCCACCTCTGGGCTGTTGTCCTACAGCAGAACCTGGCAATGTAAGGTACATTTGTAACTTGAGCAAACAGGTTGATTGTCAGCCTGTAATTATTTTCCAATATGCCTGCTCCGAGTTTCGTGCTTCTATGTTTAATTCCTACTGGTAATCACTTGGGTGGAACTTAAATGGTTCATTTTTGAGTGGTTGGATCATGTACTTCATTCTCACTATTCTCAAACTCATTTCTGTAAAAGCCAAGTGATTGTCTCCGGTGCTAATCTGTAATTCAATTTCATGTGATCAAAAGCTGGGTAAGAGTAGGAGAAACCCTGAGTTGTTGAATCTTATAACATGAGGAACTTTTCTGAAAAGAGAAACTGTCATGTTTATGCTGGTTCTTTCAAAGTCTGCTCTGATACTTCGTTGCTTTCTCTCTCTGCACCTCCCCCCCATACCTAAAGTTGTTAACTTGTTCCTTTTCAAGTTTATATTCAATTCTCTTTTAAAAGTTGTGATCTAATCAATTTTCATCACCCATTTGAGTTGGGTCTTCCAGATTTTAATTGCATCTCACTGAATTAAAAATAAAAATACCTGATCTTTCCTTTGGCTTTTTTACCTGTAACCTTAGATCAATTTTGTCTGGATCTCGATCCTCCTGGCACTGGGAACAGTATCCCAGTCATTTCTTCTTGAAGAAAGGAACACTATCTGGTTGAACATTTGTGTACATTTTGTTTCGCATGGTCATTTCAAGTTAAATTAGAAAGAAACATAAATTGAACTTCGGGATAGAGGAAGGGCATTCATCCAGAAATTCTAAAAGTGTATAGTTGTGGCATGGTGGTAATTTCCCTACCCTGGGACCAGGAGGCCCGGGTCCAAGTCCCACCTGCTCCAGACATGTGTAATAATATCTGTATAAAAGGCTTTATGCAGCATTCCTGCCACCAAGCAGGAATACGTATGTACCTAGTCACAAAATCTTAACAATTTTACAGCAGGATAACTACTGGAGTCCCAGAAAAGGTGGCTGGGCATTGGGCATGATAGAGGACATAGGTACCAAGGATTTAGCAAGTTCCTAGGCCTCCTTTCAAATATAGGTAGGATGAGTGGCGTTAATTTAGTGTGAGAGATGCTCCTGTTGCATTTGTTGATCCCTGAGCAGTTGTGACCAATTTCCAGGCCTATTGTCACTCTCCACATGGAAGTCCAGAAAGTACCAGGGATTTGCATACGTTAGGAGAAAATGAGGACAGGAAGTTGGAGTTGGAATACTGAGACCTTGGGTTTGTGTAGCACTACAGGTGATCCCACCACACTATGTGTACACACGCACGCACGCGCGCACGCACGCACACACACACACACACACACTCTCTTCCCCCCCCACACACACACACTCCCTCCCCCCCCCCCCACACGCTCTCTCTCTCTCCCCCACACACTGTGTCTCCCCCACCTCCTCTCTCCCCCCCCCCCATCTCCCTCTCCCCCTCCCCCCCCCCCCTCCCCCCCCTCCCCCACACACTCACCCTCTCCCCCACACACTCACCCTCTCCCACCAACACTCTCTGTCTCCTCCACACACTGTCTCCCCCACACACTCACTTTCTTTCTTTCTCCCCCACATTCTCTCTCTCTCTTCCCCACACACACTCTCGCTCTCCCCCCCTCCCCCACACTCACTCTGTCCCCACTATCTCTCTCCCCCACACACAGTCTCTCTGTACCCCCCCACACACTGTCTCTCTGTCCCCCCATCCACACACTCACTCTCGCTCTCTCCCCCACTCTCTCTCTCTCTCTCTCTCTCTCTCACACACACACACACACACACACACACACACACACACACACAACACATACACACACAAATCTATGAGGTGAATTTTTATTTGCAGATATATTCTACGTAGTTCAAAAAACATGCAATTTATAGACAAGTCAGTCAATGTGGCATTTTAGAAATTCCTACTTTAGAAATAAAACCAGTCTGACTCCAAACCAAAACACAAACAGATTCTAAACAAGGCCTAACACTTAACATGCATTGTCTGATTTGAAATGTCACCTCTTCTTTACACTGATAAAACCTTTAGTTCTCTCAGGACAGTGACTTCAAAGGAAGTCGGGGATTTACGTATACATATTAATCAATTAAAACCTTCTAACTGATTAAAGATTTAACAGCATCTTAGGTTTGCCTTGTGTGTCATCAATGGTGTGACCCTTTGATCTTTTACTTATAAATTCTGTGCCTGATACTACCTCTTTCACTAACATCTGAAGAAGGAATAAGACTCTGAAAGCTTGTGTTTTCAAATAAACCTGTTGGACTATAACCCGGTGTCATGTGATTTCTGACCTTGACCTCCCCAGTCCAACACTGGCACCTCCACATCGAGATTTTTACCCTCATCCTTCAGTTTCCTGTTTAGTTCCAGGTAGATAGTAGAATGAAATTCAACTTACAACTGAGAATTACTCATAAAAATGGCTCTTTGGCCCAGATACAAGGGATTGAACCATAGAATTGAACCATTAAACTTAAAATGATTTTAGAGTAACTATAACTGATTCAAAAATAACATGGCTCCTCAAAATGCTTCACTTATAATATCATTTGAAAGTCTGCTACCAGATGCACATTCTTTTCAGCTAAGTGATAAAATAATAATGGGTCATTAATTGTTCCTGAAGATAGGAACATTATTAGTGTTAATAGATCATGCACTTTGTTTTGCAAAGTTCTTTTTTCAGCTTTTTCATTAACCTCTACTGCCTTTAAGTCATTGACTGTGCAGCTACATCGATCAGGAGCTTTTTCTTATAAAGCACTGGTCTATTTTATTTTATGGCATTCATCCAACATGACTCAAGTACTTATTTATATGACGTATATATTCATTGTCATACTAACTTCTGTTTAATTTGTCAGAATCCTCAGTTGATATCATACTTAAATATCTCGGCAGTTTTGATAATTGATTTATGAACAGTTTTAATCTATAGCATGTTCTCTAGTGGACTTTGCAGATGAACTGCAAGTGTGGACATAGTTACAACATTTGAGCTGTATTTACTCATTTTAATGGAAACACCTCAACAACTGATGCAAATATATTAGATATGCACATTATTTAAAAAAAAAGCTTTTAGGACTACTCAGTAACCAAGGAAATAAAGCACACACCTGATCAAAAATGCCCAGATACTCTAAATCTTGCCTAATGTCTCACCAACAAAGTACAAAAGCTCAAATATACAGGCATTCGCTGTGAGCATAAGAATGTTGAGATTTCTGTGCTTACTTTATTTATCTTTGTTCACTAAACAGAAATGCAATTAGCCACATCTGAATTTCCAGCTGACCTCATGTGGCTGGTGGCTAATATATTGAATAATATGCAGGGGCCTTTCTTTAAAAAATATAATTAACTTTGGGAAATAGGAAACCTTCAGAAAGATAAAGGAACCTATTTCAAGAATTTTGTGCACTGAATGCAAATAAAATTATGCCCACTAGAGAACCCTAGAGAAAAGATCTTTACTATTCACTTTA